ACTAAAGAGCCTCTTGATGAAAGTGAAAGAGGAGAGTGAAAAAGTTGGCTTAAAACTCAACATTCAGAAAGCTAAGAGCACAGCATCTGGTCCCATCACTTCATGGCAAATAGATGGGGAAGGAAACAGCAGAAACAGTGTCAGAATTTATTTTTGGAGGGCTCCAAAATCATTGCAGATGGTGACTGTAGCCATGAAATTAAAAGATGCTTGCTCCTTGGAAGAAAGCCATGATAAACCTATATTGCACATTAAAAAATGGAGACATCACTTTGCTGACAAAGGTCCTTAGAGTCAAAGCTATGGTTTTTCCAATAGTCATGTATGAATGTGAGAGTTGGACCGTAAAGAAGGCTGAACACTGAAGAATTGATGCTTTTGAACTGTGGTGTTGGAGAAGACTCTTGAGAGTTCCTTGGACTCAAGGAGATCAAACCAGTCAGTCCTAAAATAAATCAATTCTGAATATTCATTAGAAGGATTGATGCTGAAGGTGAAGCTCCAATACTTTGGCCATTTGCTGCAAAGAGCTGACCCATTAGAAAAGACCCTATACATTAGAAAAGACCCTGATGCAAGGAAAGATTGAAGACAGGAGGAGAAGGGGACAAGAGGACAAGTTGGTTGGATGGCATCACTGACTCAATGGACATGAGACTGAACAAACTTCAGGAGATGGTGATGAACAGGGAAGCCTGGCAGGCTGCAGTCCATGGGGTCACAGAGAGTCAGATACGGCTGAGTGACTGAACAACAATAACAATTATCTAGCAGTTCTACTCCTAGGAATATATTCATAAAAATACACTCATTCAAAAAGATACATGCACTCCAGTGTTTACAGCAGCTTTATTTAAAACTGCAAATATATGGAAGCCAGCACAGTGTCCATCAACAGGTGAATGATAGAGAATCTGAAGTACATATTGACAATTCAATACTACTCAGCCATAAAAGGAATGAACTTTTGCCATCTGAAGCAACATTGATGGACTTGAAGGTATTGTGCTGAGTGAAATAAATCAGAGAAAGACAAATACTGTATGATATCAATTATATGTGGACTCTAAAATACATAGTGGACTAATGAATATAACAAGGATAGAAGCAGACTTATGGATACAGTCACCACTAGAGAAGGGGGAGAGGCAAATAGGGGCAGGAGACTAAGAGGTACAAACCCTTAAATATAAAATAAGCTACAAGGATATGTTGTACAATATAGGGGATATAGCCAATGTTTTATAATAACTACAAGTGGAGTAAAATAAAGTATTTATATATGTATATGTATTTCCTAATGCAAAACTGTGAGGTAGGCATATGTGTATTGTTTGTTTCTTAATAAGACCTTTAGAAAACACACAGTATTTTAACAGCAGATATTTAATTCTTGATGAGGGAATACTGTACAATGTACAGGTATTTTGGTATATGTCTAAGAAATATTTTTAATCCCTCTATATCAGAGACAGCACCCAATTCTTAGAAAGCACAATACTCAGTTGAACATTTTATATTATTATTATAAAGAAATTCCATGACTAATACTAAGCACATGAATGCAATCTGCAGGTTGTTAATAATACTATCTAAAAAAATCAGGACGGCCAAACTAAAAATTTGCAATAGTAAAGTGAGAACACAAATGAGAGAATGAAACCTGCATTAATCACCATAGTGATTGGGGCTATGTGGGCTTCCAGTATGTAGATTCTGTTTTGGTTAATAATGGAATGAATATGAATATTTATATATATATTAGGTAGATATAAATATGATATAAAAGATAGATATATGTGATATAAAATGTATATGCAAACACAAAATTTGGGTGTAGACTGTGACAAGCCACCCACCTTGGATTTACCCTCCTAAGCCATCACCGACTCAATGGACATGAGTATGAGCAAGCTCTGGGAGTTGGTGATGGACAGGGAAGCCGGGTTTGCTGCAGTCCATGGGGTCACCAAGAGTCAGACATGACTGAGCGACTGAACTGAACTGAAATAATTATATAGTAAAAAGGCTAAATCTCATTTGAACTACTTCGGTATCACTTTCATTACAGACTGCAACCAGAGTTGTTATTAAACACATAGAAATGGATATTACTAAAAGCATACTGGGGTAAATCTTTCTTGAGAAAACATCTCAGTGAGGTCTTTGGAATCCTAGAAATAGACTGAAATCTCAGCATCATAATTAAGTGATTGTAGATGAACTAACCAAGCTCTCTGACCCTTTGTCTCCTCAGCTATAAACTAGAGATCAAAATGCATGCCTCAGATTATGTTTGGAAGGTAGAAATGAGGGTATGTACAATAAAAAAGAGCACCTGGCAAAGCACCGGATACACAATGAATCCTTACGTAATTATGAATGTGTTATTATTTTGACCTCTTAAAAGGTCCAAACTCCAGGTGCAGAAACTAAAATTCATGAATTGGAACAGATTGCTGCAATTGCACACACAGATACAAAATTTAGTGAATCATAAACCTTAAACACATTATTTTATGTAAGTGAAAAAATGCTGCAATAAGGCTTTCTGTAAATATTTTCAACTACAATGTGGGCAATGTTAGCTCTTCATATGGAAGTGAATTTTTATTGCTGGCATTTAGTTCCAGAGCAAATATTATTTTTTTAGCTTGAGAGTTATACAATAATTGAAGAGAATACATTTTGATCTATTTAATTTGTAACAGTTTGCATATTATCATTTACATTTCAATACTAGTCCAGTTTGAATTTTGATTTTATTTTCTTTTCTCTGAATAACACTCCAAAAACAATTTTGTAGACTATATCAGTATTAACTGAAACAAACTCTGAATTATATCTTAAACATCCTCCATATTCAAGTAATTTTTTTCTATTAAAACTCACAGAAGCAAACAATATAGAAATTAAATATTAGTAGAGTGAGTAGAGTGAGTAGAGTAGAGTACAGGTGAGTACAGGTAGAGATCCTAAATAAGTTAATTAAAAATATTTCTTGGGGAACTACTAAAAACAGAGCAATATTTAAAAGAGACTGTGGTAAATAGCCTAAGATGCTATTGCTACCTCATTTAACAAGCCTGCAAAAATGCAAAGTAGAAAATATACACACAATAGAGCACATAATAGCACAAGTTAAAGTGCTAAACTTTGTGATCCTGAAAATAAAGAGTTCAGAGAGGGCACAATCAAACCACAATATTTAAAGAAATGAAGAATTCCAGGAGAAAATGGGAGTTGGAGTTGAGCTTGGCCTTGAGGGATGAATAGAATATGGGTGTACAGGCAGTTTGTTTACAGAAGCTGAAATAGTGATAATGGGGGCTGTGCAAGGAAAGAATTTAGCTTTGAGTTTTTTGTATGTTTTCAAGGAAGACTGCTTTTGAGTTAGCGTGGCAGAACTCAATTACTACATATATAACAGTTTAGAGGTAAATATCCTTATAGGTGATATGGTAGGATATAGAAGTATGAAGGTAAGTGCTGATTTGATGAACCATCTGTTTTATGAAATGTATTAGAAATGAGATAAATTAGAAGACAGACCCAAAAGATAAGTGTGATGATGAAGATGCAAGAACACACTGCCAACTTAAATGAAAAAAGGCTGTTAGAATTCAAAGAAGGATAATTACAGGAGGCACCTCCAGATCCCACAAATACAACCAAGAGAAGGTTTAGGATAGCGAAAGTATCTAGGAAGCATTGGTGTTATGATTCTGTATCTCAGTTTTCACGACAATAAATCAAATACTTCAGCAGAGTTTTCTACAGTATTTGTAGAAAGTGCTGAAGGGATAGAATGTTAACCCTAATCCTCATCTGAGAATAAATAGTGTCAGCTTTGTTACCATTTGACAGATGCTATAAACTGAATAGGGCCTGAAGTTGCACAGAATAGTCATGCTAGGAGGACCAGAAGACACAAGTTTGGAAATCCTTGGAAGTGTTTGTGAGCAACAGGTAATGAACAGTAACAAAGACATGTAGACCTCTCACCAGTCTCCCATGTATCCCAGCAATATCTAGTTAATAGGAAAGAGTGATATAGAAGACTCTACTCCTGCAAGGTATCTAGTTAGAACTTTATACTACTCTTGGCTGAATACTATAGAAAGGGTGACTCTAGCAATCAGGAAAGTTGTAGACTCTCTGACCACAAAAATAAAAACCCAAGCCAGAGTATTATTGAGAAAAAAATAAATAATTTTTAAAAAATGAGATTAACTATGTTTTACAGTCTTGCATAGATTCAGAACATTGTAGGATCCCAATAGATGAATTTGAATATGAGGAATGTTTCTATAGTATACGGAGGGAAAAAGGAGACTGGATGGGGTGTAAGATAAATATGAACCTGAAGTTTGGAAAAATACAACTTATAGAAAAACTTCTACCTCAACTAATCATCTTTTTAATTAAACCATCTATCTTTCCCTTGTATGTAGCAGGCGGATACTATAGAAATTTTAAGAGTTTTAATGTTGAAAATTCAGTGCTTTCAGTGTGTTTCTAGTTCTATAATACATAAAGTATAATATCAACACTGTAGCAATAAAAACCTTTTTAAAAATTCAGCTATCATACTCAGCTTTCTGTGGTTTTTATTTTGTTGTTGGTCTCTTTTAAAAGAAAAACATTTCTAGTTGATACTCTCTGCATTTTACCTGAATAACCTTTTATCCTATCTGAGACTCTTCCAGTGTTGATTTTTGTTTCCTTAAGGAACAAATGCTACCCTTCCTTGGAATATTCTCTGAACCCAAAAAGTTGAATCTTCAAGAAGTATCTGGACTTAACAGATCATCCCATATGAGTTAAGATGGAATTGACCTTCTCCTAACAGCCCTAGGAGATTCAATCGTAGGTGATGGAAATGAGGAGAGAATTAAGAAAAAGGATTAAGCTTGAGATAGGAAGAAAGATAACCTCCAAAAATTTGTGGCTAAAGAAATGAAAATATTGACAGTACTATAAAAAAAGAAGTGTCTTACCAGAATTCTGAAGTCACCAGATGATCCAAGAGTCCAAGCCTAATTAGAAAAAGAGGGAAAAATTACTTTTCTGTTTTTAAAGTAGATACACAATTTTTTTTAATAATTCTATAATATCATTGCATTTATAAAGTTGTAGATTGATGAAAATAGATTAGGAAACCAGCTTTTCTAGGCTTTCACTTAAATGGAAGTGTCTACTTAATCTCATATTCTGCCATACAAAGACAAAAAATATAGTCTAGATCTTGAAAATACATTTCCAACTATTCAGGTGACCGTAATTATTCAGCATAATTCTTTAAATTCTCAAAAAGATAGACTGTTACTAAACAAACTTGAAATCTCATGATATTTATTATATGCATTTATTTTTCTTATGGGGGAGGTGACCTAAAGCTTCATTTTAAAAAGTATTTTCTCATTTTTCTGCCTTTGTTGATTATCAGACAGTAATTAGTTTTGACTTGGATTCATCTTTGAAAATTAAATCCATGGATATTATAATGACACAAATAAAAAAGGTTTTAATTTCAAATTATATCTAAATGCAGCCTCTATGTTTTTAACGTATTTGAAGTTCAAATGAAAGGCAGTGTCTGAACAGCACAAATCCCTGAGAAGACCTGGCACCTGCTGTGGGATGCAAAGGTTTTAAAAATGTTGTCTTGTGTAAAGGCAACGGCAAACACTTTGAAGCCTTTTGTAAATACAACTGCCCGCCTCTTTGTTTGAGCAGAAATATTGAACTTCTAACCACTATTACTATAAAATAAAGGAGATTATTTTTTAAACATATGATCATCTTTTCCTTTTTTCTTAGGAATTAAATTGGAAATTACATATCATACAAGTATTGAAAAAAAAACTATATGTAAAAGAGAATGAAAAACAACAATAAACATGACAATTTTACACTGTGTATACAGTTTTCTGTGTCAATATGTGTTCCCATCTTTTGTCATAACATTTAAATTAGGTTACCTGGTCAGAATTAAATACATAATGCTGGACCATTAATTGGTAACAAACTGGCCAGAATGAATCTATTAAAATTCCTTCTCTAGGGCTTAGACTCATTTAAGAAGACCAGCAGTTCACTTGAGAGGAGCAAGCAGTGGATTTTGTTAAGCTATGATAAAGCTTTTTGGAATCCCTAGCCTGGCTTCAAAGGTACAAAATCTCTGTCCATGGATTTTAGTTCTCATGAGAGGCATAGAAAATACTTGGTATATTTTCTTTCCTTTTCACAAATACAAGTTATTGGCTTATTGGTTCAGTTCAGTTCAGTTGCTCAGTCATGTCCAACACTTTGCAACTCCGTAGACTGTAGCATGCCAGGCTTCCCAGTACATCAGCAACTTACAGAGCTTGCTCAAACTCACATCCATTGAATTGGTGATGCCATCCAACCATCTCACCCTCTGTTGCCCCCTTCTCCTCCTGCTTTCAATCTTTTCCAGCATCAGGGTCTTATTTTCTAATGAGTCAGTTCTTCACATCAGGTGCCAATGTACTGGAGCTTCAGCTTCAGTCCTTCTGATGAATATTCAGGACTGAGTTCCGTTAGGATTGACTGGTTTGATCTCTTTGCAGTCCAAGGGACTCTGAAGAGTCTTCTCCAACTCCACAGTTCAAAAGCATCAGTTCTTTGGTGCTTAACTTTCTTTTGGAAAAGGAAATGGCAACCCACTGCAGTATTCTTTCCTGGAGAATTCCATGGGCAATGGAGCCTGGCTGGCTACAGTTCATGGAGTCACAAAGAGTCAGATACAACTAAGTGACTATCTCTCACTCAGCTTTCTTTATGGTCCAACTCTCATATCCATACACGACTACTGGAAAAACCATAGCTTTGACTACATGGACCTTTGATGGCAAAGTAATGTCTCTACTTTTTAATGTGTTGTCCTAGTTTGTCATAGCTTATAAATCATGTAAGAAACTTGCAAAAGCATAAATGCTTATATCTCAATAAATTATCACAAAATGAATGCTCATGTAATTAACCATCAGATCAAGCACTAGAATGCAGCTAACACTTAGAGGCCCACAGCATGGTCTGTCACTGTATATGTGTACATACACACATGTATATACACAGCTTGCATACAAGTACTATACATATATACAGGACACATACAAAAACAGTATACATACATATATGTGAAAGTGTTAGCTGCTAATTATGTCTGACTTTCTGTGACCTCATTGGCTGGAGCCTGCCAGGCTCCTCTGTCAGTGAAATTTTATGCAAGAATACTAGACTAGGTAGCCATTCCCTGCTCCAGGGGATCCTCCTGACCCAGGGATCGAAACTGTGTCTCCCGAATTGCCGGAAGATTCTTTACTGTCTGAGCCATCATCAGTTCAGTTCAGTTCAGTCGCTCAGTCGTGTCCGACTCTTTGCGACCGCATGAATCACAGCACGCCAGGCCTCCCTGTCCATCACAAACTCCTGGAGTTTACATAAACTCATGCCCATTGAGTCAGTGATGCCATCCAGCCATCTCATCCTCTGTCGTCCCCTTCTCCTCCTGCCCCCAATCCCTCCCAGCATCAGGGTCTTTTCCAATGAGTCAACTCTTCGCATGAGGTGGCCAAAGTATTGGAGTTTCAGCTTCAGCATCAGTCCTTCCAATGAACACCCAGGACTGATCTCCTTCAGGATGAACTGATTGCATCTCCTTGCAGTCCAAGGGACTCTCAAGAGTCTTCTCCAACAACATAGTTGAAAAGCATCAATTTTTCGGTGCTCAGCTTTCCTCACAGTCCAACTCCCACCTCCATATATTTATACATAATTCATACAACATAGTTTTTCCTTTAAGGAGACACTTTTCAATTTGCTTGTCCACCTAATGTGGGTTGTCTTCTCCTTATTAATTTGCTAAAGTGTTTTATGTATTCCAGATATGATCCTTTGTTGATTATATTTGGTGAAATATGTTTCCCCCTCCACATCTCACCCTTTTATTCACTTTTTGTGCCTCTTGTTGCAAATTAATCTAAGTTTTAAAGCAAATTTAACCATCTCTATCTTTTTGTGGCACATGCATTACACAAAATGATCATATAGAATATAATCTTCTCTATTTTCTTCTGAAACTAAAGTTTGTCATCGTATTCTTCTGCCTCTCACATCTAATCCACAACCTACCTGAAATTAATGTTTTGCTTTGTGATTTGTTATAAAATATTACTATTTTCCAGATTGATGTGATAAAATTTACTGAAAGTATCTTACTTCTGTCATTGTTATGCAAAGGTAATTTTCCATAAATTAATTGTCCACAGATACTTGGGTGTTTCTATTAATAGATATCAACATATCCCATTTAACTACATGTATCTATATCATGTCTTACCTCAACATGATGTAGGTAGAAGAGTGGGATCCTCAACCTTTTCCTTAACAGTTTATTGACTATTTAAAAATATAATCCACGTAACATAAAATTCACTGCTCTAAACTGGACAATTTAATGGCTCATATTATGTTCACAATGTTTTGTAAACATAATCATGAATTCCAGAACATTTACAAACTCTGAAAAGGAAACCCTATACCTATGAGCAGTCAATCTCATTTCTCTCTTATCCACTTTCCCTGGCAACCTCTAGTCTGCCTCTCTGGATTTGCCTATTCTGGACTTTCATACAAATGGAATCACACAATTTGAAGATATTTTTGTCTATCTATTTCACTTAGCATAATGTGTTCAAGGTTCATCTATTTGTAGCATATAGCAATATTTATTTCACTTTTATGGCTAAATAATATTCCATTGAATGTATATAGTATTTCTATTTTCTATAACACTTGTCTATAGGAATAAAACTGAGTTTCTATTGACCTTATATTGAGCAAATTTAATTCACCTGTGTATTCTTTTCAATTTATTATCTGCACTCACATTATACACAATAATAGTTTCATATATTCCACTTAGATCTTTGAGCTTTAAAAGTGTGCCTATATACATGTATGTATGCATTCATGTATATATGCACATGGACATGAGTGTGTGTATGCATTTTGAATCAGTGCACCCACTAGGAACACCAGAACAATGAACAGAAGTGGTTTTCCTAGACACCCTTCTTTTGATCTCAAAAGTAAACCTACCAATAAGTCCAATAACATTGGTTTTACATTTTTTAATACAGTAGTTTAATTTTTATTCATTTCTAAGCATTTTAAAGTTGAAATTTTACTCAATAAGTATTCTAAAAGAATATATTTTAATTTCTTAATAGCTGGAGATTTTCTGATTCAAATAACTTGTACAAAAAGCACTTATTCAACATGATGTCAACCCTCTACAGTATAGTGAAATTTGTTATATGATTCAGCATCTGATCAATTTTCATAAATGGTCTGTGTGTCCTTTGTAATGATATGTATTCTACAATTATGTGCATTGATCTGTACACATAAATTAAACATGTTAATAATGTTGCTCATTCAGATACTGAAAGATACATATTGTGCACTCCTGCTGTGATTTTAAGTTTGTCTTTATTTTTTGTTTTTAGTTTCACCTTTTAGAAACTTTGTATGTTAGGCAACATCAAGAAATACATATGAATTTGCAATTTTTATTCCTTCTGTTCAATAGCAACTGTTTTTGTGAAGTAGTTCCATTTTATTTCCAATACTATGTTTCTACGTTCTGTTTGAAATGAATAGAAATGCCCCAGCATTTAAACTGACTTATCTCAAAAGAACAAATAATTTTAGTAGAAAGAAATGCCTGCTAAACTATTTCATTGATCAATAAGTTCATTCAGGGTTTTCTAGGATATCTTACAGAAAAACCTGAATGAATATTGCAGACAACCCAGTAAATATACAAGTCACTAGTCAGAGTTGCCATCTCATCCAGGGATAGTTAAAGGAGGATTTAACTGGGATGCATACATATACCAAACAGGAGAGAGAAAAAAAAAAAAAAAAGCCTGTGCAATAACACAAAAGGCAATGCACTCTGTGTAGCTAGGGCCTGAGCAGGTGGTGGAAAGAGGTATGACTGATA